TAATCCTATAAAGAAAGATAATACTAGAATCATCAATGGTTCATTAGATATATAACAAGCAAATAAAGAGCATAATAAATGAAAAAAAGTCATAAAACTAATTTTCAAAGGCTTAATAAATTGGCTAACAGTCAAATTATGTTAGAAATTTGTGGCAATAGTTTAAAGGTAATTTATGTCCCCAGAGGTCGGTTTTGCAATCATAACTGGGAACCAAAAGAGGAGAATGATTTTTTTTTTTATAATAAACAAATTATGGGTTTTTGGAAGACTGGCCAGTTGATTTTCAATATTTTCCTTACCTTTTTTTGGGTCTCTGGTGTCAAATGTTTACATATAAATATTGCTTTAAAAAGTCATACCTTCATAGGGAGGACTATTAGATTAACTTTCTAATGTTTGCATTAAGAAACAATGATTAACAGATAATTCTAAAAAGTTAATTAAAAAATAAATGTGTTAGCAGCCAGCCAATAAATACCAATCACACAAAAAGTGAGTTGGCCCAGCAGTTTATCTAGTTTTTAGTTTTAATAGGTAAATTTTAAATAACTCCACAGTAAAGAGGTTCAAAACGAACTGAAGATTAAAGCCATGCATTTCTTTGTGTAAAGGGAAACAAGTATATGTATCACATTTCTAATGGAGAAAGAATCACAGGAGAAATAAGAATTTTAAAGCATTTATATGATGACTATGAGAAAACTTACATGACAAAAATAATCTCATGCAAACATTTGATATTGCATATTTATATGTAGCTGTGCCCTTAGGCTAAGGTGTTTTTTAAATTTTCTTTTTAAATAGAATATAAATAAGGACAAATAATCAATAGGGAAATATTTTTGAACACTGAATATACTACTCTGTGTAATAGGGGAAGAAAGTCTAGATAAATGGCAGCTATAATGTTTCAGGTGTTAACATGATCAGGCTGCAAAAGTAAAACATCAGTTGACTTCATGTGTTCAGGTTTCAGTGTCCCCATTTTGTGAAATAAATCAATTCATCATGGATACCAAATGACCACTGAACATTTGTTAAAAAAAAAAAAAAAGGAACTGAGGACTCTGTTAGTCTTATATTACTAGTGGTTATGCTATCAACCCTAAGTTAGCAGCTTCTTCAAGTGTTTTTTTCCCCCATTTTCAAACATTTAAACATAGCAATTTAGTTTTACTGTCCTATGTTTATAAGCAGCCAAAACATTGGTTTTTTTCCCAAAAGTTTCCTTCAAATTGAATCCTACTTCATTTCGACAGTTCATAAATATGTTTGTGGCCATAAAATGTTGTACTAGCATATAGTTCAATCAATTCAAAATCCATAGAAGGTTTCACCTGATAAGTCTTTCTGAAAGACACTGTTTCTTATGCGGTTAGCAATGAACAATTATACAGTCAGACATGGAAACTGACATTCATATTCTAGTAGAAGATACATTTTCCTTTATTTGTTCCTCCTTCTCACATTTTATAATTTTCATTTTTTTTGTATAGCAAGTCATTTGATTCATATGTTCATCATTGTCCTTATGTGATCAATGTTAAATTCATGTTTGGAAATGAGTGACTTTTCTAACACATGGAAAAGAGTAAATGTATTCACATCCAGTCAGCTGCTTACAAGGCTGTAGGCTCAAACCACTCTTCTGAAATTAACAGATTTTAAAAGTTTTTGTAGGGGAATGTTCACCATTGGTTTCCTAAGTATGACTGAGTATATTTGTTTTTTTGTCCTCTGATAATCAGGTTGGTTTTTGCCTATTAATTTCAGTGTTATGAACAATTACAAAAAATACGGTATAGAGTATTGCTTGATAGAACAAAACTATCCTTGTCTGCTTTTCAAAAAAGAAAATTCTTGCTAGATACCATGAAAAATGCTAACACTCTTAACCTGTTTTCAAAGGTTACTATGTGTCCTTATGTCCAATCTGAGAATTTAAAGTATTTGTTTATTTTAGATTTTCACAGAATTGTGTGCTTATGGAATATTAGAGCTATGACATTTTAAGGCATAATACCCTGAATTAAGGTACTTAAACTATACCAAACAACTGTGCCTCTACTCTAAAGGAGATTCCACAAACTTTCATAATAATCCATTTTAATGTAATATTTATTTGAAAAGTATTTCTTTTAGTCAACCTAAACTTCCCAGCTAACCTAAATCTTTAATCCTCGTTTCTTCTTCTTCTGTTCTCAGTGATGAGAGACAAAAAATGGTTAGTTACCTTTTTTTTAAAACTGTTCTTCTCTTTGAAGAATCTTCCTTCTCTTCTCCTAGCTGAACTATTCCTACTCTTTTAACTTCCTTAACAGTCGTTTTCTCAATATTTAATGATTATTTTTTTCAGCATCCCGAACAATACTCTTGACTGTGAAGCCTAGAACCCACTCAACTGCAAAAGTCAGTAGGTTCAGTAAATGAACAATTATCTCATGATTCTTGCTTCATCTACTCCTATTAATGGACACTACTATTGTGCTTCTCTAAAACAACAACAATAACAGACGACAACAACAATAACAACAGTAACAAAGCAGCTACAGCATCTTTAGCTATTGCAATATTGAAATATTTTCTGTTTTTACTTAGTCAATGCTTTTTTAATTTTTTTTTTGCTGCTGTGTGTTATTTTTATTTTTCAAGGCTGTTACCCTACCCTTGTCCTTACTGAGGCTCAGGCTATTTGTAATCAGTTTTACAATTTTAAAGTTTACTTTCAATGCTGACACTGGCTCTTTCTGGCGGTGTGGTTCATTTGGACAAATCACAGAAAATTTCTGGGCCTGTATGATCAGCTATAAAGAGAAGCAGTACTAGATGATGGTTAAGATCCTATGATTTTAGTAACTGCTTTCAGATCCAACTGCTTTTGTGTGGAGACATAGATAATTCATTTCTAAGTTTTTACATTCTAGCAAGTTTTAGCTAAAATAAGGATCTCATAAATACTTCAAAGCAAACTCATTTTTTTCTTTTTTCATTTAAATTCTTAGAATTTAAAACAGAAACTTTTAATATCAAACATAGGCTATAGAATTAGAGATATTTTGTCTGAGAGGGAAGAAATGTTTTTTATACTTTCTACTGGTTTTTCACTGGGTCATAAATCCAGTTCAGGTATCCAGATATGCAACTGAGTGTTACTGACACATATTCACATAATTTTAGAATGGTATTTCCCACTGTATTCCCAGTACCATACATGAGAATAATGAGGAAATCTAGGAAGGTGTTCTGAGGTCCTTTTTAAAGGCAAATATTTCCTCAGGCACAAGAGTGTTTATTTAAAAAAACTATGTAGCAGCTATCTTACATCTCAGGTCCAAACAGCATGATAAAAATGCTGACTGACCTGTAATAAAAATGCATACACTGTTTATGTATGGCACTGGGTGGCCACGGTAAAATAAGATAAGAAAAATGTTCAGGGACAGCTTGGAAATGCATTGAGAAACAGAGCAGAGAGTTATATTGCAGTGGTCACACTTTGATGAAGATTTGTTTTCTAATTTTCTCTGAACCTAAACCTTAATGTTTGTTTTGGTGCACAATCTCACCATTCACCTGAAGTTACATTTGGTAAGTGGCACTGTTGCACATGCCACACATGTAAATTCTTTAGTTGTTTTGGAAATGATGGTTGCTGCTTCTTAATTAGCACGTGACAGGTGCATCTTTCTTAAGAAAAAAAAGAACATGTACTTTATGCCTTAGAATTTGATAACCATTGAACTTGACTGATTTCCCTTAAACTCCTGAATAATTCTTGTTTGACTTCTGTTGTCAATGACCCTGACCTGCCTCTGGCATGTACTAGCAGTGTGCACATGGGCTAGTGACTTTATCTCTCTGAGCCTGACTTTTCCATGTGTAAAATGAGGGAGTTGGATTAGATGATCTCTCAAAGGTACCTTCCATCACTAATTCCATGATCCTATGAAAAGTGTGGACTATTTTTAGTGCGGCATTTGTAGAGAAGTCATGGATATTATCACATGAAAATATCAAACCCTTTTTTCTCTAAATAAATTAAGGCCACCTGACTAAGAGCAAGGAATTACGGCTAAGAGCAATTAATGGGTAACACTTAATAGGTGGATGAGGAGCCCAAGATTGTTACTCTACAGGTCAATTAGCTAATTTCCTTGTCTGTCAGGTTATTGTGCAAAATAAAGTCAGTTATTTTTGACTTATGTAAATTCACTGCTTTAAATTATGTCCTAGGAAGCTTTCTAAGAGAATCTGTAACTTAGCTAGGAACACTGGACTGTCAAAGATAATCTGTGTTTCATAGGCACCTGAGTATTTGTCATAAGCTGACAATGCACTAAGGTTTAGTATTTATTGTTTTTGGCAAGGAAATTTTGCAGAAAAAAAGATCACCCTTGTCGTACCAACTTTATCCCAAACTTTTAACCCTACCTAAGTGAACTAATTTTTAAAAAGATGCCTTTATGCATATATATCTTTTGCCATCTGTACTTATAATCTTTTCACTCATATTGGGACCATGAATTTTGGAGAAAAAAGAAAATTAAATGAACACATGATTTTACTTCAAGTTGTCTAGCACTCTTTTATGAGTAACCACATAAAAATGGAACAGCACCAGTTCATCTACGTGTCGGAAATCCTAAAAAGAAAAGCATGTAATCAAATAGTTGAATAAAAGTAAATGATCATAATTAAGATCTTTCTTAGGTTTAATAATTGGTTTTCAGTGGAAAACTGTTATAAAATCAGAAGCTAATGAATAACTAATTAGAAAATAAGTGCATAAATACAACCAGTGCAAATACAAAGTTAACATGAATATTCCAATGAACCAGATTTTTATTTTGTGCAATAAAAATAGCCAAATTCAGGCCAATTTTAAATAATTAAAATCAAACTTAGTTCAACTAATTTTGCTTATTTAAACATAAACAAATTAAATACAAAAAGTTTTACAATTGGTTTACATTTTACTAACACAAATTGTGGTGCAAATAAAATAAAAATAAATAAATACCATTGACTGCAAAAATATCTGAATCAGAATTCTGTGGCTGAATGAGGATAGGATTTTGTGATTTTCTAACATATATTTTATATTGACTTAAGTACCTCTGATTTAAAAGATAAAACCAAGCATCTGGAAACAGAATTTTGTTTTTTTAAAGTTCACATCACTAAACATTCTTTATCTAAGTTTGTATGCGATCAGAGAAGCCATCAAGCGTCCTGTCAGACTGGCCCCTGTGCCTGTGGTTCATTTCTCAACCTTCTCTCAATTTCCAGTAGTGTAGAAATAAAACAAGTTTTATTCATGTTACCAACTAGGCAGAAATGCCTGCTGGATGCTGGGGAGTAGCCTGCATAATAGTTGTACAAATTCCATTCCATTATTTTTTTCCGTTGAAGATGAAGACTAGGGATAAGGAGGCTGGGAGAGACAGTTGAGAGGGGCACACTGAGAGCTGGAATGTGGCTGCTCTTCTGGAAGAATGACATTAGGACTGAAAAGGAAACACAGAACAGAGGAGCAGTAAGAAAGGTGTATGATGCACAAGGCAGAATGGCAAATCATGCTTTAAATAAATACATTTAGCACAAATCTCATATTCAAATCTTAAGATCAGGTAAATCAATGTTGTTTACATAATTTTCTGTTATAGCCATGGAAATTTTATTTTGGAGTCTTATTGTTGTTGAATCATTTTTCAGTCAAGTACAACTCGTCATGACTCCATTTGGGGTGGTGTCTACTTAAATATAAAGCATGCCCCAAAAACCCGAGTTTCTTGGGAGAGTCCTAAAGAAAGTAAAATGTGCACAGCAAAAAAAAAAAAAAAATTAAATCTTCCCTCATCTTACCTTCTTTCTCTTATTCCCTCAAAGTCATCCATTTTTATTAATATTTAGCCATACTAAGAAAGTTCTTGCAGGCACTCATTTCTTTGATGGATCCAAAGACATCTGAGTAATTCATTTGACTATTAAAAAATCTGATTGTGAGGAGGGTCTTCAGAAAATTTTTTTTTTTTAGTTCGGAATGGCAGTGTGAACACCACAAAAGTATTTTTAAAATTTCTTTTTTTTTTTCTGGTACCTAAAACAATCTGCCAAAAAAAATTACCAATATGGGAGCTACTCCAAATTTGTTTATGGGATACCTGTAGGATGGCTGAAAAAAATCACTTATATAAGTTATTTTGCTCTGCAAGGACAGTCTTTCCCCCCCCCCTCTTAGTTTCATTCTTTATAAATTTCTCAGACTCTTCTTTCCACAAATTTTTAAAAAAACTTCATTATTTCTTTTGGGCCTCACAATAACCTTTATGCCTATTTTTGAAACACCTACATGATGTGGTGGATAGAGTGCTGGAGCTGGAATCAGGAACACCTGGGTTCAAATCCTGCCTCAGACACTACCAGATGGTTGTGTGAGCCTGGGCAAGTTACTCGACCTCTGTTTGCCTCAGTTTCCTCAGCTATAAAGTGGAGATAATAATAGTATTTACCTCCTATGGTTGTTGTGAGGATAAAATGAGATAATATTTGTAAATCACTTTGCAAACCTTAAAGCATAATATAAATACTAGTTATTATTATGATCATTATTGTTATTATTCTTACATAATATGTGATGAGGAAACTGAGGTTGAGAGAAATTAAATGATTTGCTCAAGATCATACAGCTGAGAAGTGACAGAAGCAGGATTAAAAGACAGGCTATAAGGCTTTAAAACAAAGTTCTTCAAACATAGGTTCACTGCCCAGGAGGAACTAAGCTGCTTAGCTCTGAACTCCTTGCGACAGACCATGGGTCCTCATCCTAACCCTAGTCATTTTTCTGTAATGCTTCCTGTTGCAACTTCACCCTCTACAGCAGACTTTCAGAGACCATATCCTGGTCAGTTCTGAACTCCATGGAAATACATATTCTCATTTTCTCCTTGACCATTTCCCTCCCTGATGACACATGTACTCCTCTCCCCTCTTCATCTTTTGCCAATCTAATAACATTGCTTCTGAAAAAGGACATATTAATGAATTGGTTTTTTGCCTCTAAGTTGTTATACTGTACTGTAATAAGAAGTCTGAGTAACCCCATTAGAATGTGAGCTCCTGGAGAGCTGGGACTGTCTTTTGCCTTTCTTTTTATCCTGAGCACTTAGCACAATGCCTGGCACAAAACAGATACTTAGTAACTGAATGACTGATCAAGTAAATCAAATATGATGGGGGTGTGGCGGTAATCTCAGGACAGATGTTCACATATAGGAGCTATAGAATTAAAAAAGCTTAAGAGATGGGCATCAATAGGCAGAAAATGATTGTACATTTCTTTTCTGCCTTTCCCATGAAATACTTCCTCTTAATCTAGAGATAAATTTAATTTAATTTTGGCAATATAAATAATCCAAACAATCTGTAATTAGATGCCGAATTTAAAGATATGACACTGGGCAAGTCATCTACACTTTGAATTACAACTTCTTTAATTGCCAAATGGGAAAAATAATTCCTATTTTGTCTATTTCATAGGGTTGTTGTGAGAATCAAATAAAAATTAGAAAGCTCCATAGAAATGCAAAAATATTGTTATTAATGTGGAATATATGTAGATGGTGCTTCTGCATATCACTCAATCAGAGGTTAGAGTCAGTTTAAAACTGGGAGGGAATGTGAAAAATAGTTTTTTAAATTATTATTTCCACAAAAGTCTAGTGGAAAGGAATGCAGTCTGGGAGCTAGGTGGAAGTTGAACAAAGGGAGTTGTATTAGAATAAGAAAACACTCTTGGTAGTGAATAGACTAACCAGTGGAAAACCAGTCCAGGGGTTAGGTATAGATTAACATAACAGGGGCATTCTCAAGTAATGGCTAGGTTACCTGAATTGTGGGGAGTAGGAGATGTAATTAGGGGCAGAGACTAACATGGGAAAATTAGGCGTTTGGATAGGCTGTCACCTTTATAGTACACAGCGAACAGGGAAACAAGGGAAGGAAATTTGAATAAGGAATAGGGAATAAAAAGGTGTGCATTTGTCAATACATGTGCTCCCACATGCATGCTCTTACATGTGTAAACATGTGGGATGCCTGGTCTTCCCAGGTTGTTAATAAAGCTTCTTCCTGATTCAACAATGGCTTCATGGAATTCGTGATATTGATATAGATAACATTAAGAAATAACTAAGAAGGTAATTGTGGTATGACAATATGGAAATCTTGAGAAGAAATGGAATTGTAGACTACTTTTGTTAGTCAAACTACTTGAAAAGAGAAATGCTTTCTTAACTGCGCCCCCCTTCACCTATTTAAAGCGAAACAAAACCTTTTCTTTTTTTTTTTCTTTTTTGGCTAGGCAATGGGGTTAAGTGACTTGCCCAGGGTCACACAGCTAGTAAGTGTTATGTGTCTGAGGCCACATTTGAACTCAGGTCCTCCTGAATCCAGGGCCGGTGTTCTATCCACTGCACCATCTAGCTGTTCCAAAACAAAACCTTTAAAAAAACATTCTAAAGTTTATCTTAGAGAGAAAAAGTAAATGAGGGAGACAACATGCAAATATTTTTGCATTAGATTGTGAGCTCTTTGAGAGCAGGAATCTTTTGCTTTTCTTTGTATCCTCAACACTTAGCACAGTAACTACAGCAGGTACTTTTGAAAAGCTGGTTGACATACTGACAGAGAAGGTTCTTCACAACCTTTCAATTCATTATCTGAGGTAAACTTTTTGGGGGTGGTTTTTGGTAGGAGTAATTTAATTCTTTCTGGTTTTCTAGTCAAAAGGTAATTTCATGCTTAGATCTACATTTACTTGGTTTGTTGATTTTTGTGGTCTGTAATTTCTTCCATGTAGGGAATTCCCAGGGTGGAATCTCCTTTCACCCAAGCATATCAACAACTTATCTGAAACTTGAGGAATTGTCAGTGGCACTAAGAAGTTAAGTAACTTGCCCATAGTCACATATAGTCTAAGAAGCAAGATTCAAACCCAGGTCTTGTTAGATTCTAAGACTGGCCTTTAATCCACCATGTTACTTTTCAGCTTGTGCGATATCTTTCCCTAACTTAAGATCTCATTGAGATTGACTTCAACAACTACACCTGAAAAAATTTATGCTGCAGAAAAACCAAAACAAAACATGATGTTTCTAACTAAACACATACAGGCAAACTGGCTCTCTCCTTCCAGAAGAGCAAGAATTTGTGGGGGGCAAGTCATATAAACTACAAGCGAAACTTCTGAACAATAACAAGCATTATATGCAATTCTTATTTTTTATTTTTTAAAAATGAGTTCCATTTTAAAAGTTTTTTGTCATTTAATAAAACTTACATTTAATAAAAATAAGTTATATGATAAAATATTTAATAAAAATTAAATTTGAGTTATTTAGTAAAATCAGTTATCTGTTAAAAATTAGTTACATTTTCCCCTTTTTATTCTAAAGGATCTAGCTTTGTTTCATCTCCAGTGAAATTCTCATATCTGACAGTTTGAGTTTATTTTGATTCTTAAATTAAAGTTGTAAGTGGTGGGTTCAGAGATTGTTCTGAGGGAGCACTGAGCTGACCTTTAAAAAAATCAATTTCTTTAATAAAATAGATCAATACATTAAGGGAGTTACCTTTAAAACTGATAAGAAGACTTTAAGGGGAAAGGATCTTCATAAAAATTTTGGTTGGTTAATTGGGTACAAAATGATTTCCTAAAAAGACAGAGCTTCAATTTTTGAAAAATAGAATAACTCTCTTGCAATGTAAAATTTTCTCTATTCAAGTCTATGGAAAGTTCATAACCTGGCATATGTTCCTCAGTCTCATTAAATTAAAATCAGATGGAGTCCCAAGATATACTACTGACTTGAAAGATTGAAAATGGGTCATTACAGGATACAAACTGTATGAGATCGAATACTTGAATTTTGGAGAACTGCATCATACTACTTACCTCTGCCAGAAAACAGAATGAGATTCAAATATGGTAGGCCAACATGAGAAAAAGGTTGTTTAAATTTAGTTTTATTTGTTTCCCCTTACCTTACTCCATCCTTAATTCTATCTGTTCTTGACTCTTTCCTAGATAGTTTTTTTTTTTTTAAATGAGTTCCATTTTTCCATTTTGATTCTGAAGAATCTAGCTGTGGAATAAGCCACAGACACATAACATAGGGACAGCAGATTAATTTTCTACTCTTTAAATTCCTAAAATGTTTCCTTCCATAATTATGACAATTGGACCTTTGACCCATAGGTTGGAGAGGTGAGGTGTGCTGGAGACAGCTCTTGCCAGTTCAGGAAAGCTGACTGTTAAAATTATTGGCAAATGCTAAATATAAATCAGGGCTTGATTTTTTTTTGGTTGATTATCGAGACTTAAGAAAGTGATAGAGAAAATATTATCAATGCAGATTAAAAGTAAAAGTGTGTCACAGGCACCTTCTTCCCCCCACTCCCTCCAAGTTGGTTGTTAAACATTGACCAGCATGCACCAGGCTAGAAGTTGATCGACATTGTTTACAAGTTAATGAGAAAGTCCTAAATTAAATGTTAGTGTCCCTACTGTTGTACCAGTCTACTGTTATACCAGCTTTCAGGTTTTATGGATAAGAAGAAAGAGCAGAACTCAAACTAGAAGCAAAACATTTAAAGAACTGTCACAGAAGTCACATTACATATCTTTCTTTGTTTTTATGGGACGTATATTCCTAACACAAAAATAAGAAACATGTTAATATCTGCAGCATTGATATTTCCATAGATGAAGAAGATAAAGGTTCAGTATAGAATATAATTCAAAAGCTACTTGAATACTGATGAAATAAGAATGGTTTTCTAAAATACCTGGTCAAGTATTATTCTGCCACCTAGTGGCTGCAGCTGCTATTCTGCAGTTCTCAGATTCTTTTGTAATCCCCATTCTTCCTGTCTAGATTGTTTCCCTCAATTAGTGTTTACTGAGCCCCTGCTTGAGTATATATTGCAGGAAAATACAATCAAATATGTAAGGTTAAGGCAAAGTTATGGTTAAGTGGTGCATGGATCTGAAACAAAACTAAATGGAATAAGAATTTATCTAAACATTACCTGACAGTCTGGCAGTCTTGCCTCCTGGCTAGTTGTGAGCATTGTGGCGATATGGAGGCAGCAGGCTGCTGACAATCTATAAGAAACTGATAAATTAGACATATATACACAGAGATGACAGAGCAAGGTGTTAGTAACAGCATTACATGGTAAGCAGCTGATGAGATTTAGTGAGGAATAAATGTGTACTTGAGTCTTAATCTGGTAGAAATGTTTATTAAATATTTTTGTTTTGATATTTCTTTTTTAATTTTTTTATATTTCTAACGAAAAGGATAGCAGCTACTTTTATAAGTAAAAATACTGCTAAAACATCTGGTGGTTCTGGAATTTAAAATTTTTAATATTGATTAAACTGAACCTTTACCTCCCTAAAGTCTATTTATCAGTATTAAGTCTTTTCTCAAGTACATTATTACATGTTTACTAGCAATCTAATGCTCAGCAGAAGTTTCTTGAAGTATTAATGAAAGAAAAAACAAGGGTCTTAACTTTTTTGAATTCAATAAAGAATCAATTTAATAACTTCATTTGTCTCCAGAGCCCTATTCCTTGTAAATGTACCTATTTATTAAAAACTTGCATGCAATTAGAATAACAAATATCCTCACAGGTTCTAGAACTGGAAGGACCCTTAGTGGTCATGTAGTCCAAACAACTTTTACAGATGAGGTATTTGAAACTCAAAGAGTCTCAGTGACTTGTCAAATGCCCAAAGGTATTAAGCAACAGAGAGCAAGGATTTAAGCCCAGGTCCTGACTCCAAATCTAGTGAGCTTTCCTCTACTACACCATCAATGAATGGCTTTAAGAAAGAGGATAGAAGCATCAAGAGAGGCTAGCAGCATGATTAATATGGAATGGTCATTATGACACTTGGATGTGGAATACAATATAAAAAGAAAAGTATTCTTTACTGCATTATTTGTATACATGCCCTGTTTTCTTCTTCCTATTAAGACAGTTAGCTCCTCTATGGCCAGAATTGTATTTCACTCTCAGCAGAATGTTTTGACCCTATGTGTTTGAATTCACTGAACAAAATGAAATATAGTTGCCCCAGTTTATTTGGACAAACGTGGTAACACAACTTTAAAGGAGCATAATAAAAACATAAAGTTAAAGTTGTTTCTGCTGACTTTAGATAAGTAGACTAAATATGGGTGGGGGGGGGGGGAAGAAACTTCACAAAGCCAGAAATTCTCAGATGCAAGTCAGGGAACCCACTATCCTTCCATCTTCCCCTAAACTCCATTCACCAAATCTCTAGGAATTTATTTGATCCTATCACGTGCTAATTTGAGGCAAGTCATTCAACCTTCTCAGCAGCACCCTTCCCATTCTCTTAATTAAAACAAGGGAGTTGGACTACTGGAACTCTGAGGTCAATTTCAGTATCAAATCCTATGACCTAGTAATCTTATGAATTCCAAAATACTCTGCTCTCAAATTCTACAGTACTGTTAAAAATTAACATGGTGGTAAAGTCTTTTATGTTGCACATCTCTATAAATCTCTGTATGATTGTTTGGATTATATCTTTCCTGTTTCAGAGCCCTCAAATCTGATTATTGATGAAAGTTGTAGACCAAGTAATATATGCTTTCAGGTTCCAATCTAGGATCAGGAAAAAAAAAAAAGTGAAACAAGTGAGAATAAAGAATGAAAGTCTTGGAAGAAAGAGAGAAAGGTGAGGACAAGGTTTTGGCATGGAAGAAAAAGCAGTGTACTTGGGGTCAGAAGATGAGAGTGTTAATCTTGAATTTGCTACTTCCTAATTGTGTGACATGAGCAAGTCACTTAATCTCTCTGTTTCCTTTTCTGTAAAAAATGGGAATACTGTAATAATAATAGTTATACTTTATCTCACAGGGTTATGATGGGGATTAAATGAGAAAATGTACACAAAGAATTTGTAAACATAAAGCTTTACATAAATGTAAACTACTATTATTATGGATGAATTTAACTTTAAGATAAAATATCGGTATTTATTAAAGGTTTAAGATAAATTCCCCTTCAAAAAATAATAACACTTATTTTCAGATTTACAGAAAAGTCTTACAGAAAAGGGGTAAGAAGTAGGCAAGAAAAGGTCCAAAGTATGTGATTAGTGGTTAAAGGAGTGCATAAAAAGGTAAAAAAGAGGCAGCTCAAAGTTTACTTTATATGGAAGACCTTTTCACAGACAATAGGGCAACTACAATTTGTGCTAAGGCATTGGCAGGAATCTTCTAATTTTGGAATAGGTGATCACGAAGTCTAATATCTGAGAATAAGCAAGAAAGTTTGAAGGATTATGCAAGACAAATTTCTATACATAAAGCTTTACTCAGGGGCTGTCAGCAAGAGAGCACAGTGAGCAGGAGTGGCAAATAGGAAGTTTACTTTAGTGATTAGCCATGAGAATTAACTATAAAATCTGTCAGCAATAATGAGAGAAATTGGGAGATTCTGTTTTCAGAAAGCATCAACAGCAAGAGGAATTTTCCTATGACATGAAGAGATTATGCCATTTTTGTGGTTTTACTAGTGCCAAAAAAACACTATATGATCACAAAATGCAGTTTGTTCTCATTATTGTTCTTGTTGTTCATCTTCTGATGTCCATTTTTTGATGTTGACCAACAACATCAGGAGGATGATGTCTTGTGAGTGAATTGGATTTAAGTGAGGCAAGGCTGTGCAAAGTCATCAGCCTTACTCTCTCCTCTAGAGTCATCAAAGCCGAGTGGCAAGACAAAGGTCACGACATCTGGGATGGCCCCAGATGCAGTCGGGGACCTTGGCATTTTTAAGCTCAGGTCTTTCCCAGGACTCAGTTTGTCTGAGATAACACCCATTCAGTGACTAAAGGCTAGCTAAGCTTAGTTTGCCTTCACAAAAGGATCAATCTGGGAGGGGAAGGACCCTCAGAGTTTCTGGCAGAACAGAAACAATTGCTATTTACATTCACTCTGAGCAATCTAAACCCAAACAATGTGCAAGTGAGTCTTGGGCTCATTATTGACCAATCAGTATAAGCCAGAGTGATTTGGCATAGTCAAGTAGCTCCATTTGAATCCCAATGGGCTTTATCAAAGCCTGGTTTACCAGAGCTATATTTCAAGAAATCATACATGAAAATTACTTGAGACAAAAGAGTTAATTGTCCCAGTTATTTTAATGATAAAGTAAATAAATAAGGAGGAAAAAAATTTAGTCCCCAAATCCCAAGATACCTTGTGAAGCATAAGCAATCAAAATTTATATTCCTTTAGACAGAGCAACCATATATAAGGGTATGATTCCTCACATGGACGAAGGGAGAAGGCAGAGGATGAGGAGGAAGAAAAGGAAAAGGAGGAGGGAGAAAACAGCAGCATTGCCCAACTGGAACTGGCCAGTTGGGTCCCCAGTGGGGCAGCTACTACTTCTCAGAGATTGTTGTTCATTTTTTGTTCTCAGAGGGAAGGTGATGTCTTGATTTGCAAGTGAATTGGATTTAAGTGAGGCAGGGAGGTGCAAAGTCATCAGTCTCACTCTCTCCTCCAGATTCATCAGAGTCTGCATAGTGGTCTCATTATAAGAGAAAGTAAAGTATCAGAAAGAATAAATCCTCTCTTGAAGGCATGGCCATAAGTAGGAGTCTTTGTGCACAGTACAAGGATTGGAAACTGAACTTGGGGCAAATGGCATTAATGGTGCTTTCAGTTGAAGGAGGAAGGTGTTGCTTGATAGGGCAGAGAGGAGATAGAGGCTCTGAGACACTGACTCAATGTTGCTATTGGCGAAGTTTTGAGGGGAGAAAGGGAAATAGGTTGAGGAAGGAATTGATCTAATAGTATCCTATTTTAACTAGTTATTCTTGCTAACCAGTGCTAAGCTCTATTGTTGTTAAGGTGCGGCTTGTTTTTGTGTTCAGCCATTCTGACTCTTCATGACTCTTAGTGGTATTTTCACGACAAAGATACTGGAGTAGTTGCTATTTCCTTCTCCAGCTCATTTTATAGATGAGGAACTGAGGTAAATAGGGCTAAGTGACTTGCCTAAGGTCACATAGTTAGTATGCATCTGAGGCCAGATTTGAACTCATAAAGATAAGTCTTCCTGACTTCAGATCTAGTATTCTATCTACTATACCACCTATCTACCATTTATAATCAGCATCTTGGAATCTTATCACCTCCAGGATGAAATATAAAATCCTCTGTTTGGTTTTTAAAGATCATTATAACCTGGCCCTTTATCACATTTTTAGTGTTCTTACACCTTAGCCCCTTCCACAGATATACTCTATGATTCAGATCATAGAGCCAGATCACTAGTCTCCTTATATTATCTTACACACGACATTATCTCTTTACTCCAGGAATTTTCAGTAGCTGACTCTCATGCCTGGAACTCTCTTTCATTTCCACCTCCTGAATTTTCTGACTTCTTCAAATCTCAACTAAAGTTCCAGCTTCTTCAAGAAGGCTTTTCCAGCCCTTCTTAATCTTAGCACCTACCCTCTAAGATTACCTCTAATTGATCCTGTGTATATCCTGTTTCTACATAGTTGCTTGCAGGTTGCCTCTCCCATCAGACTGTGAGCTATTTGAGAGCAGGGACTCTTTTTTTATCTTTTTTTTCCCTTTGTATCCCTAGCACTTAGCACAGTGCCTGGCACAGGATAAGCATTTAATAAACACTTGTTGATTTGACTAAACTGGTCCCAATTCAGAACAATGAGAAGCTATAGGTTGCTGATCTAGAAACGATAGGAACCTGGAAAGGAAGTAACTTTGTCAATGTAGAATTCATGATAGATGAGAAGAGGAAACCTGTTCATAGTTTGGTATATACTCTAGATTTTTGGACAACATATTTGAAAGAGTTCAAAGAAAGGATAAATTTCATTACTTAAATTCTTCTGGATAAATCAGCTGAAGAAGAATTCTCAAGAATGAAATTCTGATGTCACAAACAATTTTGGTAGAGAAGAAAAGGGTAAGCTGTTTAAAGAGACATGTATACGGATACATAGGGAACTTACCGATAGACTGGAATGTTTAACAGTACACACATACATAGAAATATCTATCTGTCTAACCA